TACCCTGATATCCAAACCAGAGAAAGACCCAATCGAAAAATAAAGCTAAGGCCGATCTCCCTAATCAACATAGACACAAAAATCCTCAATAAGATCTTGGCAAACAGCATGGAGCAAATCACCAAGAAAATTATTCCTTATGACCAAGTAGGATTCATCCCAGGGATGCAGGGATGGTTCACTATATTCAAATCAAGAAGTGTAATATACCATATTAATAGAGCAAAAGACCAAAATCACATTAGCATCACAGTAGATGAAGAATAAGCCTTTGACAAATTCCAGTACCCATTCATGATTAAAAAAAAAAAAAACCCTACAGAAAATTGGATTTGATTGTGTTTACCTCAATCTGATAAAAACCATCAATGACAAAACAACACCCAAAATCATACTAAATGGTCAAAAACTAAAAGCTTTCACTCTAAGAGCAGGAACAAGGCAAAGATGTCTACCACCTTCACTCATATTTGACATAGTTCTGGAAACACTAGCCAGAGAAATTAGACAAGAAGAAGAAGTAAAAGAAATAAGAATAGGAAAGGAAAGCATTAAATTGTCATTAATTGCACATGACATGATATTCTGTGTAGAAGATTGTAGATTTAATAACCAAATTTAGTAGTGTAACTTGACACAAAATCAATACTCAAAAATCAACAGCTTCCTGTACAAAAACAACAAACTCACTGAGAGAAATTTGGGAAAGAACATATTTCACAATAGCATCCTAAAAAAGAAATATTTAAGAATTAACCTAACCAAGGAAGTAAAAGATCTATACATTGAAAATTACAAGGACTGGGGAGGTAGCTCAGTAGAATAAGCGCTTGCCTGGCAAGCGCAGGGTCCTGAGTTCAATCCCTAGTTCCACAAAAAAAAAAAAAAAAATTACAGTACTCTGGAAAACTAGATCAATGAGGATATCAGAAAATTGAAAGATATCTCTGACTCATAGGAAGAACAAACACGGTGAAAATACCCATACTTCCCAAATTGCCATACAGATTTAAAGTAATCCCAATCAAAAAACCATGAATATGCTTCACAAAACTCAAGAAAACAACCTTAAAATTTATTTGGAATCAGAAGAGATCTTGAGTAGCAAAAGCAGTTATGGGCTACAGAGGTACAGCAGTGGGTATCACAATCCCTGACTTGAAATTGTACTACAATGCTACTGTAATAAAAAGCACCATGGTATTTGCAAGAAACAGAACTTAAGATCAATAGTACAGATTAGAAGATGCAGATATAACTGCAAACACACTCAGCTGTTTTATTTTTGACTAAGGAGCCAAACACATTCAATGAAGAAAAGATAGCCTTTTTGATAAACAGTGCTGGAAAAACTGACTTTCTACATACTAAAGACTAAAACTAGACCCATGTCTATCACCATGCACTAAAGTAAAATAAAAATGGATCAAAATCTAAGTAGTAAAACAGAAATACTAAATCTACTGAAAAAGAGAATAGGCAGAACTCTTGAAGAGTTCACATAGTGTGAGCAAGGATTTCATGAACAAAACCCCAATACAGGAAACACAACAAATAATCAACACCTGGGATCTCATCCTATTAAAAGGCTTCTGCACAGAAAAAGAAATCACCAAGAGAATGAAAAGGCAACCTATAGTATAGGAAAAATTTTTGTCCAGTTATCCCTCAGATAAAGGACTTATACCTAAACATGTAAAGAATTGAAAAAAAGTCAGACCTCTCAAATTAAAAGATCCAACCTAAAAATGAGCATCTGAGTTGAATACATACTTCTCAGATCAAGAAATGAAGATGGCAAATAAATATATGAAAAAATTTCAACATCACTGATTATTTGAAAGATGCAAATTAAAGCAGTACTGAGATTCCATCTTACCCCAGAAAGAATGGGTATTCTGAAGAAATTAACCAATAATAATTGCTGATGGGGCTGTGGGGAAAAAGAAATCCTTCTCCACGGTAGGTGGGAGTGTAGATTGATGAAACCACTATGGAAATCAGTGTGGAGGTTGCTTAAAAAACTAGGATTAGAAGCACTATTTGAAGGGCTGGCCAAATAGCTCAGCAGATCAAAGCACCTGCAAGCAGGCACGGGGGTCAGGGGTACGATCCCCAGGCCTACCATGCTGGCCCTGCCCCTGGGGCACACTGAGACGGCACTTGGGCATGGTGGCATGCACCTGCAATCCAAGCTCTTGGGAGGCTGTAAACAGGCAGATCACTATGAGTCCAATCTAGTAGTGAGACCCTGAACACCTTGTAGACCCTTCCCTAAAAAAATTACGAAAAAAACCCAAGTACTATTTGACCCAGCTATATTTTTTCTTGGTATCTATCCAGAAGAATAAAAACATCATGCCACGGGGATGCAGGCACACACATGTTTATAGCAGCATGGTTTGTAATAGCTAAATCTTGAAAACAAACCAAATGCCTATCAATTGAGGAATGGATACAAATTCTTATAGAATGGAGTAGTACTTAGCCATAAAGCTAAGCTTTAGGTATTTCTGGGTGAATGGATACAACTTGAGGCCATACTCTTAAGTGAAATAAATTAGATTCGCGTTGCTTTATCTCTCTAGTATGAGAAAATGAAAGAGTAAAAAGTTCCAAAATGTACAATAGATGTTACAGAATGGGAAGAATTGTTCAAAAGGAAAGGGGAACTAGGGAAGGGGCAGGGGGAAAGCAGGAAAAAAGGGAAAAAATGATTTAAAAAAGGAATAAAATGGAAACAAAGCTTTGTAAATAAGGGGAAAGGGATTAAAGGGAAGAGAGGGGATTGGAAAAAGAGGAGCTGAACTATCTCTTCACAGGTACCAATTCTCTATGATGAGTATGATCATTATGTACATCTAAAATATACCAATAAACTTAACTTAAAATAAAAAGCAATGCAAAGGATGTATAAAAACAAAAATCCCATGCACTCCACTATTAGCTACATTCAGACTGGTACAATTGAAGTGAATTTAGTGGGAATTGGAGGGCACCCCTTCCTCTTCCCCTTCCCTCCCCCTTCCC